CAGGTGCAGGACCTTGCACTTGGCCTTGTTTCATTTTCTGTAATATTGTCTCAGATTATTGGTGTATCATTTTCACCTTTCAGAATAGAAGTTGTTTTCCCTGCTCAGTTCAGATATGAACATGTACATAATCTCATTTCAGGGTGTGAGGTTGCCTTTGAAACCAAAGCAAAATGAATCCAGTCTTCAGCCAGCTTCCAAAAGAGCAAGGTAAGAACAGTGAGCAATCGGTGATGTTGATAGTCCTTAATTTACTTTTCCACAGAAAAAGTTCCATCCTGTGCCCTGCAAATTGAAATAACTAGCAATGCTTTTTGCATATTGCCAAGCTACTCCACTGGCAGGAGTAAAATCATAACTAGAGAGTGAAGCAGTAAGAGAACTGGGAGAGAACAGATACAGGAGGGTATGTCCTCTTCTCCGTGTAGAAATTTTTTCTTCAGAAGAAGATTCATTCATCTGAGTACTTCCATTGGTAGTGGTTGCAAGAATGTGCTTGCCTAGTTTTAAAATAACAATAATAGAGCTTTGGGACCAAGGTTCACATTCTGATGTATTCCATGTATTTTGTAGGATTGAAGACCTACCACCACCTACTAAAAAACTCACCCCAGAATTGACGCCAATGGTGCTCTTCACAGGATTTGAACCTATGCAAGTTCAACAGTACATTAAGGTGAATTTCATGTTGCAAACTACATTGAAATATCTGATAACTTTATTCTTGATGTTGAATTTTTGCTATTTAAGACTTGATTAGCATACATCTGGTGGATAAAAACCCATGTTTACTGGGGCTGAGGTTAGAGTGTAGATTTATGTGAAATTAGTTTTATTTGGTAACTGTTCTGCTTTAGTTACCTGTGCTACTTGTTTTTCCTTTCCCTGTGATTGTTTTAAAACGCAAGAAAGCCTCTTCCACATTTGTTTTTAAATCGGGAAACTTCATGACCAAATTTAGGTGAGAAAAGTAGTGATGATTGTACTGGATAAGGCCCAGGATTCTTCTGCTGTAGTTGCTCTCCGCAATGCCAAACCCTTCAAAGAAAGTGCTGACAAAGTTTGCAGCAGGTGTGACATAGTAAGTTCCCATGGAGATGTTGTTCTGTTCTCTGATAAGTTGTCCAATAATTTAACTCTAAATACTTTATAGTGTTCTTTTAACAGTATAAAAATCCAATCATTCCTTGAAACTTAATAATTACTAAATATTTGTTCTGAAAGAACTTTTGATTTTGGGTTTTTTTCACACGTTGGCTGAAGTTTGGGGCACATCGTTTTTTAACTGCTGACCTCAGTAGTGCATGAAAGATCTTGCCACTGATGCCTGTTTCAGATAATCAAAAGTAAATAAGGTCCAGTTTGAGTCTGCTACGTTTCTTAGAAATATGCATCACTTTGGTGTGCTCAAAAATATCTGTTATCTTCTTTATTGTACCTAAACTTGTTTCTAAGGTAGTTGGACTTGGCAGTTTTGTTTTTTTTTCCTTGCAGTGTTTCCATTTGAAGCTGGGTATTAAACATTTTGGAACATGAAATATTTTTTCGTGTATCCAATAAAGTTCCAGTGTCAGCTCCTCATTTTCTGTTGCGTTGGTATCAGGTTAATTATATGGAGAATCTGTTTTGGTAACAGCTAGGGCTCACAAATATAAAAAATGAACTTCAGCCTTAGGGCTTGTGAAGTTGAACTTAAATTTGGCAGCGATGATTCCATCAAGACCTTTCAGAGTTTGTATACCTAGCGGAGGCTGGATACTTCTCATCTTTGAGATGGAGGAATAGTCTTTTCTCCTATATCCCCAGAGGGTTCCTTTGGGGATACAGGAGAACATCAGAATGGAAATCAGAATGGATTTCTTGCAAGATCTGGACTCATGGGTGTACAGTGTCTGAGGTGAACATGTGTTAACTACAAAAATAACAGCCTTTGCCTTTCATAGGTGTGCAAGTGTACTGTTCACGATGTGTCTATATGTACCCAGGAGGAAATAAATAGTAGAGAGGTGTTCAGTGTCATTGAATAATACTGTTGTGTATCATCTCTGTCCAAACTGTCGGTGTAAGCCAACACAGTAAAGTTTAGAACATTGTCCCTGTCTATCCTACTTGTCCCTTCTTATGAGAGCAGCAGAGTACAGAGGGATGCCAGAGATCTTTTAGGGTTTCTAATACCCCCAGTAGGCCTTTGTGTGTCTGTGACTCATGTAATAAATCACCCTAGTATGTTCAATATTTAGACTTAAACATACTGGTGGGTTTCTTTATTTGTTTGTACAAAATGCTTGTCAAAGAAAATCAGAAATCTGTGGTGCATAGATACTAGTTGTCCAAATATTTTTTTAATTCTTTAATTTTTTATGGGAGGAAGCACTCTTTTATTTGTAACACCTATGGTAATTTGATATGCTTTACCATTGATTAGTTGTATTACTAATCCCTTCAGATAATGATTTGTATTTTAACTGAAAGAGAGCAACTATGATTAGTTAGTTGGGGTTTAGTAGTTTAAACCAGGGAAAAAAGGATAGTTGCTCAGCATCATGAAAAATACATGTGGAACTAATGCATTTAAAGAATATATGTTTTTCATGAGATGCTTTTCTTTTTGAAGAAAAGACTAGCAAAATAAAGTTTACCGTAGCTATAGTGTACATTATACCTTCCATTGAAAAGAGCAAAATGATGGGATTTTCTGCTTACTTAAATTTAATAGCATGTTTCACTTTAAAAAGATTTTTACTTGTGTCTTACTGTTATTTCCTTGCCTCAAAAAAACCACAACTCAAAACCAAAAAACTGCAGAAGTAGAATGTAGATTTCAGTCCTGCCACATGAAATTTATGTCTGGAAATACCTGGATTTTCAGTGGCTGTAAATTCTGTCAAAATTAATCAGCTTTAGGAATGACTAATACAGAAATCTCCTACCTATATTTGCTGTTTTGTTAGGAGCTTACTTTTATTTGATGGTGATGTTATGATTCTTAATTTTTTTCCTCCTTCAATTTTTAAAGGACTATTCCATTCTGATTTGTGTTTTGTACAACTTCCAGAAACTGTATATCCTTGGAGGTGAAGTAGCTGAATCTGCCCAGAAGTGCACCCATCTAATTGCCAGTAAAGTGACCCGAACTGTGAAGTTCCTGACAGCAATTTCTGTAGTCAAGCACATAGTAACTCCAGAGTGGTTAGAAGAGTGTTTCAAATGCCAGAAATTTGTTGGTAAGTTAAACTAGTATCAACTTCTGTAGTAAACATAAGGCAGTATTATAATCACATCAAAATTAATGAGTATTTACCATTTAGAGTCACTCTGCTACCAACATTCTCTGATCACTTTAGATCCTGGGTTATGTGCATGTTTGTCTTTTGTGCGTTACATCATCAGTTTTTCTTTTTCAGATGAGCAGAACTTTGTGCTCAGAGATGCTGAAGCTGAGGTGCTGTTCTGCTTTAGCTTAGAGGAATCTCTAAAGAGGGCACAAGTAGCTCCACTGTTCAAGGTATGCACTTTAAAAGGGCATTTAAATACTTGGAGCTTTTCAGCCTAATTTTTTCAGCATTGGAATCACAGCTTTTGGAGCTGAGGGCAATAAGAGTAGCATGTAACGTGAAGCATGTGTTATAAATTTTATTTTTTACTTTATGCCTAGTTCCTGCCTAAGCATTGCTGGATCTAAGCCCTTGGGTAACTGGTTCCTGTAGATGTGAACAAAACTTGCTCAGTATAATTAACAGTGTTTGTTCCCTTACAAAATTTAGAGCACTGCTCCATTATTTGTAAAATGCCACTTATGGAAGGGACATTTTTTTTTTAACACCAGCCTCGTAGTCAAAGCACTTGCCCTTAAAAATGGGAGTCTGGGAATAAGTTTGCACTTCAGCCTCAGGGAGTTCTGGTTTGACTCTCCTTGAAGACTGCACTTACCACCAGGTTGTTTGCCACAGTGGGGCAAGATGATTTTCATGCCTCCAGTTAAAATTATGCTACAGTGCAGAGAGGTATCTGAAGATCTAAGTTGCTAGAGATTCTTCAGCCTGACTGAATTTGAGACTCTTTATTGAGGCAAACCACCTAAAAAGGGTATTTTTACAAGTAAGAATCTAAGTCAAAATACTACCTTTCAGTCAGTTTTGCGGTCTCAGTAGCAAGATGGTTTTTATTCCTAACTAGTAAACAGAGATAATCTACTTTATGATCTTATCACCTGTATTGGTCTCAGTCAAGTAGCAGGATAACTTTTGTCAGGAAGAAATAAGTTGACTGCTAATTAAAAGCTGGAAGTTCTTTTGCAACACTTGAGACGTCCCTGTGCTTGAAGAAGCAAGGAGCATCGTTGTTCTTCGTTGTCCCACCAAACTGCAGTTACCTTTTTAAAAAAAAAAAAAAATTTTGAATCATTGTTTAACCAGTGATCATTTGAATGTTTCCTGGTTGTTATTTTACAGGTGTTGAATTAGGCACACCTAAACTGTTCAAATTTATCAAAATTATGGGTTTACCTCTCCAGGGAAAGCGTCAATGCTATTTAAGGACAACCCATCAGCTGATGAATTTATTACCATAAGCTGTGATATCTAACACCAGCTTACAAAACCTGCCCTGTGATTGTGTGAGAGAAGAGTCACAAGATAATAAAGCCTAATGGGTTGCAGAAATCCACTAATAAAATAATATTCCTTCTTTTCTCTTTTTAGGGAAAATATTTTTACATCACACCTGGAATTTGTCCCAGTCTTTCCACCATGAAAGCTATTGTGGAATGCGCAGGAGGAAAAGTATTATCTAAACAACCTTCTTTTCGAAAACTCATGGAGCATAAGCAGAATAAAGTGCGTAGAGTGTTGCTTTCTGAAATTGACTGGTAATATCTTACTGTGTTATTCTGAGCTTACAATTAGTTTCTTTTCATTTAGAGTTTGCCGGAGATAATCTTGATTTCCTGTGAAAATGACCTTCATTTATGTCGAGAATATTTCGCACGAGGCATAGGTATGTATAAGTTGTCAATATAATTTGAACAGTATAGCTGTTGTTTTGATTTTTAAAAAAATTATTATTATTTTACAAGTACAGACATCTTTTGAAGCTTTCAGGTAGTCACAGAGGAATACGTGGTCTATCCTGCAAACCATGGAGAAATCTGAACCAGCTGTTTGCTAGGTATTTCTAACAGAGGTATTTTATAGCCAGGTCACCATAAGTCTCTGAAAGGGTAAACCTGAACCTGGGGCTTCAGTCCTGCCTGAGGCAAGATTGCTGACTCAGTATTCATCAAGTTAATTAAAGATTTGGAGTTTTTCACTTTAGCTATTTTTCCTTCAGCATAGAACCCCAAGATATGCTGTAGTTATTAACAAAAGACGTGCATGGGGAAGTCTCGTATTTGTGGTGTGAAGTGTGTGGTGGCTAACGAGGGCCCTGGTAGCAGTGGGGAAATACTCCCTTATGCCTTTGTGTGAAGAGCAGAAAGGTACAGGATGGCCCCTCCTGATGCACATGCAGGATGAGGAAGAATGTCCTTGTCGGGTGTAAATTGTATGCTTGTTTTTGATATTTTCAGATGTCCACAATGCTGAGTTTGTCCTGACTGGGGTACTTACTCAAACACTGGATTATGAATCATATCCTTTTTGTGTAAAAGCTGTCCACTGCTTTGGGAAGTGTTGTTTACTAAAATACTCTCTTTATTAGGAACTAATTGTTTATAATTTTTTAGGATGTGTAATGTTTACTTGATAGGAGGGTAGTTCAACATAGAATCATAGAATGGCTTGGGTTGGGAAGGGACCTTAAAGATCATCTAGTTCCAACCCCCCTGCCAGCAGCAGGGACACCTTCCACTAGACCAGGTTGCTCAAAGGCTCATCCAGCCTGGCCTTGAACACTTCCAGGGAGGAGCAGCCACAGCTTCTCTGGGCAACCTGTTCCAGTGTCTGACCACCCTCACAGTCCAGAAACCTAGCTTAAATTCAAAGTGGAATTACTTCTTGGTAGGAAGTACTTTAGCAAGGTGCTAAGCAGGGTTGTCAGAAAGCAACCGTAGTAGAATATTAAGCAACGGGGAAAAAAAATGTCACTAAAGAAAATATTTGTTACAAGTTACTTGCAGATGAGGAAATAGCTCTTTACTGAAGAGATTATAAACCCTGTTTGATAAATGCAGTGGAGGGACCAGTAAGGGTTCTATGTCTTTATGCATGTTTTTTATTTAAGTTCTATTTTGCAGTTGTTTCTTAACGTTGTTCTTTCTTAACAATCGTACATATAAATTTACTTGATCGATAGTAAAATGCCTTATTGCTTCGGACTGCTTGGAGCATTAAATCTAGCTGTTCAGCCATTGTACAAAGCAACTAAAACTTCCTGTGGATGCTGTTTTCCAGCTGTTTTCCTAGAGATGATGAGCAGTTTAAAGCAGGAAAGCAAAAATAAACTGCATCTTTTTTAGGATGTGTAATTTTATTATGCTGAAACATAATTTACTATGTTTTGTATTATACTACCATTTTAAAAGAGCCCACTTTAGCTATCATGATTAGCCCGTTTTTAAACATTTTAACGTAAATGATGGTACTTCAGCCAAAAGTGTAATTTGGATGTAAAGATAAAAGGGCTTGCTATCTATTAAATTATGGACGTTGAAGATGAAAATGTTTTGTACTTTATTTTTATTTCTTATACTCTATTTTCTTTTATATTGATATTTTGCCCACATTTTAAATAAATGTACTTTTAAATGTTTTACTCTATATTTTAGTGGTGGTTCATTTTTTTGAATACTGTGCATCAATGGCACTCTGGTAAGAGTAAATTACTCAGATCTTTTTCCAAGCAATGTAAAATTATTTTAAGCTTATTTTACCAGGTATGTTTTAATATATTAAATCCCAGTGCTTTAAAGGGAAATCATTGTAAATGTATATATGTGTTTTTACTGCGGCAAAGAAATAGCTTGAAGGCAGGAGAAACTATGAACCCGCATATTACACTGTTGTGATAATTTTTGTTTGTATAGTGAGTTTTACTAAATAAATATTAAAACCCAGTATCCCAAATCTATATTCGGTTGTATTTCCTAATACACACACAGTTCTAATAATCTGATTTGACCATTTTTATTGGTTTAGATTCTAGCAGTTGAAAAATTAATCCTAAAAGCATTTATTCTTTGATCAGCAAGCCATTAAACTCTGATTGGGGATTGCAGATATTCACTTATCTGTACAGCATTAAGTGTATTGTAGCACCTTGTGAACCATTCACAAAACAATTCAGAATACAAGATTAAAAAATACTTGTAACTAGTATCTTATCATGCTATTTTTTTCCAAACATTTTGTATTGTTATGCAGAACCATTTTACAGAAAAACTTTTACAAATACAGTATCATTAAACTGAGATAAGCTGCTATTTTTAGCTTACACAAAGCTTTCTATGGAGAAATTATCAATTTCAAATCTCTCTTTCTGTGCTGTGGCTTAAATTGTAAATCCAGTTGATACCTGACCACTATTTCTGTTGCCTTTCCTCCTGCGCCTCAGTTCAAAAGTGCGCTTAAGCAAATGACAAATTCAAGCTGTAAGAACACAGTGGGAGTAAATTGCAAGATGGGTGAAGTCCCATGGAGGTTAGGACTGTGCCTGGTCCCTGTCATTGCTGACTCTGGGTCTCCTCAGCTCTCTGGATTTACTCCTGTGTTTGGCGTTTCTCCTGTCAGCAATCAGGGGCTACATGATGATAACAAGAATGGTAAAATGTCAGCATGACTTTTGGTAGGGTGACAAATGTCCTAAATGAGAATGTTGTATTTTGGCTCAAGATGGTTTTGGATGCATTAGAGGTTAAAAAGGTGTGGTACAGGCTGGGAGAAAATGGTATTTTTCCCTAAATGCTGTTTAGTTGTAAAGGCAGTTAAGTGATTTTTCTCGGTGTGATGTTCAGCTCTCCATAATACAGTTTCCTCTTCTTTATAAGATAGATTAAGAAAAAGTCTTTAACATGGAGACCCAAGGTTGAAAGTTGATGACAAGATTTTATGCTCTAACTTTTCAAAATAGTAAAAAATAAAACTGAAAAAGAGGAACTGCAGTGGGAATTGTGCAAATTACTTAAATTTTTCAGACATGTAGACTTGGCGAGTCTGAGCTCCCTTTACTGTCAGTGGAGAGAGAGAGTATCTCTAAAACCTGACTTTGTTAAAGACCCCTGCAGAGAGCGCGTCTCCTAACAGTTTAGCAGACTCCTTTAGTCATGTACATCTTTTAGAACACTGAAAATAGGTGAGATGAATCCCACCTAAAGAACTTCAGTAATGCATTGCATAAATACTATTTTTCTAATGGAGGAAAAAATACACCTTTTTTTTTTTTTTCTCCCCCCTTCAGATACACTTCAGAATGTGTAATACTGAAATTAGCTGAATCTGTGTTAATCTCTGTATGGCTTGAGACTTTCTTTGTTATGCTAGTTACTAAGTTGCAGAAAGTTTTTGGATGCCTTTTCCTTCAAAAGAAATATTAGCTGTTGTAGCTTTGGGACTTTTGAAAATGTTGTGATACACGAAACCTCTCACCTTGAATAAATACTTTCTGCCTGTCATGCATTCAGCATCTTCTGTATGCCTTAAAAACAGACGCTGGTTTCATAAAGAGATACACACATGTAGTAAGTCAGTGGCACTGTTTAACTGTGCATGAAGTCAAACACAGGGCATAGGAATTTGCAGGACTGGGTTCAAAAAGCTAACCAGACCTGCTGAAACAGCTTTCTGCAGAATGAAACTTAACACTGAGGGAGGAGAGGCAGAGAGAAACCAAATCTGCATGTGTTTGTGTGTTCAGTGCATTTATGCCTCAATAAGAGTTCTCACCTTTTTTTTAGGATTAACTTCTATGTTTTCCACAACCAAGCAGTGTTGAGGATATAGAACACCTTTGCCAAAGACTACTAGAGTTAAGAGACGTGTGAACACAATAGCATCTGAAAGGTAAATTTCCTTATGAAAACTCTCCAAAATGCTGTCAGACAATGCATAGAGAAGCTTGAAGAAAACTAAACGCAATGATGGAACAAATGAACCCCGTGGGAAACGTGAGTGGTAATGCATCTGTTTCATCATCAGTGGAGACAGTGTGTTTATTTAGCCAACATCAAGTATGACTGATTTGATTAACCTTTCAATTAGAGTAAAAAACAGAACCTGCCAAGAAATAGTCTTTCAAGAACCACAGGAGCTGTCCAGAGCCAACTGGCTTGCACAGATGTTACTGTGCGTGATTAGCGGTAGAGAAAGGATTTGGTGAGGTGTGCTGATACTAGATTGCTGTTATGAACATGCTGTTCTTCTAGTGGAAGGTTATAACACTTAAGTGTGTTGTTTGGTGCTCTCTCCTGTGCTTAGGAAAAAATAAATAACCTTTCATGTTTCGTTGCTTGCAGAAGCATTAGGTACATGATAAAAGCTTGTGTTAGGTGCATAACAGGTGTTAGGTGTGTAATATAAGCTTCGTGCCACACTGCCCAGGTCGTAAATAGCAAAGGAAGGGTCTGGGAGAACAAAGGACTGCCCACTGTAGGTGAAGATCAGGTTTGGGACCACCTAAGGAACCTGAAGGTGCGCAAGTCCATGGGACCAGATGAGATGCATCTGCGGGTCCTGAGGGAACTGGTGGATGAAATGGCGCAGCCATTATCTATCATATTTGAGAAGTCCTGGCAGTCTGGTGAAGTTCCTGCAGACTGGAAAAAGGGGAACATAACCCCCATTTTTAAAAAGGGAAACAAGGAAGACCCGGGGACTTACAGGCCGGTCAGTCTCACCTCAGTGCCAGGCAAGATCATGGAGCAGATACTCCTAGAAACTATGCTAAGGCACATGGAGAATGAGAAGGTGATTGGTGACAACCAACAGGGCTTCACCAAGGGCAAATCGTGCCTGACCAATCTGGTGGCCTTTTATGATGGGGTTACAACATTGGTGGACAAGGCTAAAGCAACTGATGTCATCTACCTGGACTTGTGCAAGGTCTTTGACACCGTCCCACATGACATCCTTGTCTCCAAATTGGAAACGTGGGTTTGATGGATGGACCACTTGGTGGATAAGGAACTGGCTGGATGGTCGCACTCAAAGAGTTCTGGTTGATGACTTGATGTCTGAGTGGAGAGTGGTGACGAGTGGTGTCCCTCAGGGGTTGGTATTGGGACCAGTGCTGTTCAACATCTTTGTCAGTGACATGGACAGTGGGATTGAGTGCACCCTCAGCAAGTTTGCCGACGACACCAAGCTGTGTGGTGCGGTTGACACGCTGGAGGGATGGGACACCATCCAGAGGGACCTTGACAGGCTTGAGAGCTTGATACAGCAGTTACTTAAAGAGGAATATGGAAGATGTCTGTAATAGCAGAGACATTCCATCAGTCTGGAAGTCGGGGAGAAATGGTCTGCACTCATTACGCCGCAGCTTTCTTTGCCATGGGTCATAAAGTAGAATTGTAGAACAGAATTGTAGAAGTGCAGCTGGAAGGACCTCTGGGTTTTTGGTATCTTGAAGGATGGAGATACCACAACGTTTGTGGGCATCCTCTTTCTGTATTTTGCTATCCTCAAGGTAATAAATAAACCATCCTCATATCTAATCGGAATGTCCATTGTTCTACAAGTGACTGTTGATTCCTATTTTCCTCCCCATGCACCTTCAAGAAGAGTCTAGCTCTTGTCTGCTTTCTGCCCTCCTGGCAGGTAGTCATAAGACAGCAGTAAGACCTTCTTCTCCTAAGGCTGAGCACACTCAGCTCTCAGCCTCTCCTTGTGCTCTTACACCCCCTAGTCATCTTGATGGTGTTCTGGACTTGCTCCAGTAGGTCATTGTCATACTGTAAGAGAGAGGAAAAAAGCTGCTGGGTACCTTGGCCTTTTTAATGTCTTTCATCACGAGGTCCCTTGCCACGTTGAGCAGCAGACTTTCCTTTTTCTTTCCTTTCCTTTTTGCTGCTGATGTATTTCCAGAATCCTGTCACTCTGCCATTCACATCTTGCTAGTTTCAACTCAGGCTGAGTTACTCCTGAATTAAATATCAACTTACACAGTTGAAGATGTGTAAAACATGTGCGTGGAGCAGATCCGAACCAGAGCAGATGCGTTTAGGAAGGTTGTGCAACTTTAACCTTGATGCAGCTGTACTGTGAAAAATTCATCAAAGGTTTCCTAAGCACAGTTTAGTTAGCTTGCCCTGCCTCGAGGCAAAAGGGTAGACGAGGAGACAGCTCTGTTGATGTTTATATATTTTACATTTAAATATCGTGATGCCTTACAGGGTGCCAGGAGGTTACATGGGCTAATGTATGTTAGGCAAGGATTACCCTTTTTATGGATGGAAATTAAAACTGAGAGACATTTGCACTGGGCGTGGTGAAGCAGGGAATAAACCCCAGGTTAGCTATATTCAAAGTACACATCCTGACAGCCGGTCAAAGCCTGTTCCCTTGCCCTTTCTTCTGCCTGTTCAGTGCTGCTCGCAGCAAGAATAAAGAAATACCAAAGCAGCGGAGGTAAGGAACAGCAACAGAAGAAAGAGAGCACTTGTGAGTGAAACAAGGGAAGAGACTCAGGCTGACCCCTCAAAGAACAAACTTACACGTGACTCTAGGGTTTCGCAGGGGTAAGTTTTCCTAGAACTTCTATGGAATAGCACTAATGAGTACAAAAAATGTTAATAAAGGAGTTGCAGATGTGTTTTGTTT